CGAGGTGGCGGGCGCCTGTAGTCCCAGCTGCTAGGGAGGCTGAGGCAGGAGAATGGTGTGAACCCAGGAGGAGGAGCTTGCAGTGAGCCAAGATCGTGCCACTGCACTCCACTCTGAGAGACTGAGTGAGACTCCGTTTCAAAAAACAAAAATAAAAATAAATAAATAAATAAATAGCTTGCTGCCACCAACATGGAGACTTTGTACCGTGTCCCATTCTTAGTACTTAAATTTCCCAACCTGAAACTGAAGAAGCCGCCCTGGCTGCACATACCATTGGCCATGACTATGTATGCTCTGGTGAAGGTGTCTTACTTCCTCATCACTAGAGGAATAACTTATGATGTTATTGTTGAACCTCCAAGTGTTGGCTCTATGACTGATGAATATGGGTATCAGAGGCCAGTAGCTTTCTTGGCCTACAGAGTAAATGGGCAATATATTATGCAAAGACTTGCATCCAGCTTCCTGTTTACAATGGGAAGTTTAAATTTCATAATCCTGGACCCATCGAATGCACCAAATATCCCAAAACTCAATAGATTTCTTCTTCTATTCATTGGATTCGTATGTGTCCTATTAAATTTTTTCATGGCTAGAGTATTCATGAGAATGAAACTGCCAGGCTATTTGATGGGTTAGAGTGCTTTTGAGAAGAAATCAGAAGGATTGTGGTAGTACAGAAGGAGCACCTTTAGGTCTTAGAGCCATGGCACTTTTTATGTGGGAAAGAACTATGCAGATTTGTGACTTGTTAATTCTCAACTGTTGCTTTACTATTCGGAGAGTCCCATTTATCCATATGATAAATATTTACATAATGAAAAGCTAGTCTGTGTTGTGTTCAGGCACATGGGACATATACAACAGTAATGAGGATACTGGATTTGCTCCTGTCAATGAAGTTTTAAAGGCTGTACCAATCCTCCAGTATGACATGTGGAAAAGAATGAAGAGCAGCAGTAAAAGAAATATCTAGTGAAAAAACAGGAAGTGTATTGAAGCTTGCACTAGAATTTCTTCTTGGTATTAAAGAGACAATTTTATTAAGGTATTTTTTTTTTCCTGCTGTCCTGTTGCTATACCAATTATGTTTAGTGGCATTTTCTTCTTAGTTTTTAATTTCTTACTCCATATCTACAACTATAGTATCAAATAATTATTTTTTACAACCCCCTTAACATTTTTTGGAGCTGACATTTCTGATTTTCAGAAATTAACATAAAATTAAGAAGCAAGGTTCCATAAGCTGAGAACTCTGGACAGCTCATCAGCTTCTCCTATGGTGCTTTGCCTTTAACTAGAGTGTGTGATGGTAGATTATTTCAGATATGTACATAAGACTGTTTCCTGAACAATAAGATGCATGAAAGGAGCAGAAATAAATACTCTTCCTAATTAAAAATTAAAAAATAAAAATAAATAAATAAGGCCAGGCGCGGTGGCTCATGCCTGTAATCCCAGCACTTTGGGAGACCAAGGCAGGCAGATCACGAGGTCAGGAGTTCGAGACCAGCCTGGCCAACATGGTGAAACCACGTCTCTACTAAAAATACAAAAATTAGCTTGGCATGGTGGTGGGCATCTGTAATCCCAGCTACTCAAGAGGCTGAGGCAGGAGAATCACTTGAACCTGGGAGGTGGAGTTTGCAGTGAGCCAAGATCAAGTCACTGCACTTCAGCCTGGGTGACAGAGCGAGACTCTGTCTCAAAAATAAATGAATGAATAAATGAATTAATTAATAATAAAATAAATAGGCCGGGTGCGGTGGCTCAAGCCTGTAATCCCAGCACTTTGGGAGGCCGAGACGGGCGGATCACGAGGTCAGGAGATCGAGACCATCCT